AAAAATAGGGTATGCAGAGTTGAAAACATGATGAATTTGGTGTAAATAGGAGAAGCTGGCCAAACCAGTGATAAATTGCAAGGAGGGGATGGATCAACTTCAAGACCCCAGGGGAAGATCCTAAAGTTGATTGTTTTTTCCGGATATTACTCTGTCAACCCATTAATGCTTTACTCTGTGAGGTGTGCTGGAATTTATCGCAGTCAACAAGTGAATTACTCCACCTGCTATCACTTCCACTTAGCTTCAACTCAGCCAAATATGTATTAGTGTTTTTCCAATGAAGCATGATCTAGATTCAACACATGCACATGGAGCCCTCAGGATAACACACATGTTTTACCACTCTTTAATCATTCCCCTTTTTGACCCTACATTACCAGAAGGTGACTTACAGCAGGGAGGCCTGGTGGAAAATCATGAATGGGAAGGAAGCCTGCAGCTGGGTCAGGACCTGTCACGAGGCTGACCCTCTGCAGCAATAGTGAGGAAGGTAAGTTCTGTTCAGCTGTCATTAAATGTAACTTATCCACTCCCCGGATGTAAATGTTAATAATTTATCATCTAATAACATACATATCTGTTGTACATTATCTTTTTATTTCATCTTTTTTTAAAACCTTTTTTAATTATTTTTTTGTTTTTCCATTTCTTCCTTTCTCTCCCTTCTCTGTTTTATTCCTAAAACATGAAGTTTAGGGGAAATGGTTTCTCTATGTTGCCGTTGTGTATATGGTTGGTTATCTTCTGTGTCTTTGTGTTTATCCTGCTTCTTGCCCAGTGATTACCGGAAAAAGATACCAGTCCCCCACTACACCCTAACCCTGAGGATAATACAAACAATGAATGGATGTTGTATTGTGAAAAAAGCATTTTAGTAAAGTTTATTTTCTTTGCAAGGGTTGAGATGTGTATGTTTATCTTTTTACTGTACAGTAGAAACATGCATATTACTTATTCAAAACAGACATGTTTAGAAAAAATATTTATATAGAGGGGTTTTGTTATATACCTGGATCAAGCAGATTATTCATCCATCCATCCATCCATCCATCCATCCATCCATCCATCCATCCATCCATCCATCCATCCATCCATCCATCCATCCATCTTCTAACAGGCTTGCTCCCAAGTGGTGTCATGAGGGGTGCTGGTGCCTATCTCCAGCTGGCAATTGGCGAGAGGTGGGGTACACTCTGGACAGGTCGCCAGTCCATCGCAGGGCAACACAGAGACAAACAACCATTTACGCACACACTCACACCTGAGGAGAATTTAGACAAGTCAATTAACCTAACAGTCATGTTTTTGGACTGTGGGAGGAAGCCGGAGTACCCGGAGAGAACTCACGCATGCTCAGGGAGAACATGGAAACTCCATGCAGAAAGACCCCAGGCCAGGATTATACATATTTTGAGAATTTCCTATACTTCAGAAAACCACCAGTGGTGATCAACTTTTATTTGGCCTTTTGCCTACATGAGTTAACACTTTTCTGAAGTTGTAATTAGTTTGTGTTGTACAGCAGAATAGTTAACTTTACCCAGAGAAGTAAATGTTTCTCCTACATGGGTTCAAACAAGCACCATCTATAAAAGGATCTGATCATTGAGACTCTTTGGCACCGAAAAAACCCAGCCGGACTTTGACCTGAGGACCCCTGAAGGTACCGCTCCATCTCAGGACATCTGAACAAGCCGTTGCCATCATTTAGTGCCTCCATGTATTTTTAAGCACATAGCTTTGAAACCTGTTACACAGCATACAATATATGTGGGTCTTAAAAATCCAGAAAGGTAGTCAAAACAAAATCGGTTTGTCTACCTTTTCTTATTCTCTACACTCTTTGCTCCTTGCATGTTGTTGTGGTACATACAACGGAGGCACCAGTGGCATAGGATGCAGAGGTTTGCCCTACAGTTGGAGGGTTGCTGGTCTGAACCCCAGCTCCATCCACCTTAGTGCTGTGTCCATGGACAAGACGCCGTCTTTGCCTACCGATGGTGATCAGAGGGCCCGGGGAAACCTATGTGTGGCAGTCCTCTTTTTCTGTCAGTGTGTGTCAGCTGTGGCTACAATGTAGCTTACCAACATCATTGTATTTACTGTATACCCAAAAAAAGAAAATTAAATACAATCCACTGGACTTTGTTTCCAAGTTTGAAGACGTTTCGCTTCCCATCCAAGAAGCTTTTTCAATTCAAAATGTCAGGAATAGCGTTGGGTCCGAGGCTTTATACAGCAGCCCAAAAATACCTTGTTTTTGTTTTCAAAATATGCAAATTGAAACAACAAAGGGGTCCACCCCTTTGGAATGGGGGTTGTTTGGCTTTTTTATTGGCCTGCAATGCCCCATACCCACCTAAGTGTCTGAAAGATTGGTCGTTAAAGGTAATTGTTGGCATGGATGGATGAATTGGTGAGGTCCTCTGCTCCCTCTGCTCTCCTGTACAGAGGCTGGGGCTGCCTCTGTACAGTGCTTTGGAGTCCCCCAACTTGAAAAGGTTTTATTTTTAATCTTTACTCCTGCTTATTAGGGGTATAAATATGATGAGACACCAAGGTAACTTTGTTCTGAAATAAAGCAAAGTACAAACAGTAGAAACGGATTGGAATTCTGACAGTAAGTTTGGTAGTGGATCTGTAATACTGTGGGCTGGTTACTGGTTACAGACACATCATAAATAAAGATCCGATTGCATCTGCCAGAAATAGGAAAATGGGTTATTATTACAGTGACTTGGCTGAAAATAAATTTAATATTGTTAAATTAAATTAAAATGGTTTACCAAACACTAAACCAACCTCCTCGTATGGATACCCCAGTCCTAAATCGTACATAAAAAATTAAACTTTGGATTAAAGAGAAGAGAACATTCAAGAGAAAACCTGGGATTCTGAATGATCTGAAAGTTCTTCAGTGAATCCGGCCTCTTTGGTCAAAAGAAGAGTCACATATTACTATTACCTTTCAGAAAAAACCTGTCATACTCCCAGGCCTGGGTGTAGGCCGGTTTTTCCCTTTGCAGGGCTGGACGGGCAGGTGCTCCTCATCAAGCTGATTCCCAGCTTTTTTAAGGAGCTGGAACCAGGAGGAGTGCGTCAGTTTGTTAATGCTCCAGCGTTGGTACAACTGCTCCTGAACCAAGCCTAGCTTCTTAGCTTTGCCTGAACCTAACCCTTTACTCTCTGCTCCTTCTCCTAGAACCCGGGATCCCAAGCCTGAAACCACTCCAGAGACCTCTTCGCTCTGGACTCCTCTCAGAGGCGTTTTCAGTCAGCCTCTAAGAACCAGTGAAGCTTCGGGCCTCAGAACAATAAAAGCCCTCCTGCCTGAGGTCACCTGCCTGTCCACCCTCAGACACCACCATCTGATCTCACCCACCGGACCTGCACCATTCGCCTGGACCACTGGTCACCTTCCTCCCAAGACAGACGCCAACCGCCCTCTCTGAGTCTCATACATCCCTCACTCTTCAACCAGCACCGAAATGTTGCTCACCTGTCACCTAACCTCTTCCAGCAGTATTCTGACAATCCTGATTCTCTTCAGATACTCCTAGATAGAAATTGTGGTGCCATGTAATGTTCACTCAACAAGACATAAAAAAAAAATCTATTTGCTAGTATATAAGTGAATATGAATAATCCATTACTCAAGAGAAAAATCACAGAATTAGATGATTGCTAATTGTCTTGATAAGAATGTAAAGACATAATATAAGACATAAACTGATCTTATAAATAGATAATGAATCTCCTGCCAAATTAATTGTCAAGTTCCTGAAGGACAACAAAGTCAGTGTTTGGGTGTAGTCATAACAAAGCCATGATTTCAAGTCCTTGGAAGATTTGGGGGCAGATTAAAAAGGTGAACAAAGTGAGGCAGGCAACAAACTTGACTCGGTTATACTGGTACTGTCAGGTGTAATAAGCCACAATTTGTGCAAAATGTTTAAACTAAACAACATTTTTGTTAGGGTTAAAAAGGTTTGATCCAATAATATACATTAAACATAATTCCTTGTTCAGTATCAGACTTGTTTTATTGATAATATAAGAATATTAAACTATTTGTTATTGTATTGCAGTCATGTTCTTACAGATGAAAGTTCAACCCAAATTAATGTTGGATCTGGATATATACACTCCCTTTTAGAAATGTATTATTCTGTGGTTTTCTTCTAATTACATGATAAAATAACTACAAACATAATAAAAGTATTACATGTTGTACAAAACAGTTTTAAATTATATGTTTCAAGATTAAAGTCCCCATAATTCAAAAAAGCTATTCAGGTATTCTGCAGCTCCACCTTGAAATGACTCAGGAGTTCCTGCAGTGAACTCATGTCGGCTCCTAGCGGTTGAAGCTGGAACTGCAACAGGTGTTTGAAAGCGGGCAGACTGAAGCTTACCAAAAAAACAGAGGGGCAAGAAAAGCTTTGAAACGTAAGGGAAACATGTATAAGCACTAGCATCAAAAGAATAACAGTTTCTTAAAATAAAATAAAAACTTTTAAATAGGAAATTCTCATGGGACATGATTTTAACTAATATATTTTTGTCTCAATGATTGACTGGTTTAGAATCATTAAATTCTGAATTGAAATTCTGAAATATTCAGAGGCATTCAGTGTGTGGTGGAAATGCTCCAGAGGTGTGATGGATGGACGCAGGGAGAGAGAATGAAACACTGGCCCATTAAGAGTCTGATTGCAGCGCAGAGACGCAGGTCCACCTCCCCCCTCCCTCCTCCACGCACTGTCTCCCTCTCTCTCTCTGCCTTGAGCTAAAAGGATAAGCTCGTCCCTTTTGCTCTCCTCCCCATGATTGGACGATGCCGCGTCTTAGGAAAGGCATCAAACTATTTAAATAACACTTTGTGCTCACTCAGTTGAAAAAGGAAGCTTTAAGCGGTGGATACCCAAAGAAATTTTTTTTTTCAATAACGCAAAAAAAAAAAAAAGAAAATATATGTTATTTTTTCCTTTTCACTGTGGATTTCTAACCTTTTAAAAAACATTGGGGATTATTGCCATTTTTTATATTTTTCCAAAGGATTGATTACTGATTTTTTTTTTCTTTAATAAAGTGGACAGGTGAGTGCATTTCACTTTAAGAAGCAACTTTTGCGCATACAGTCTATCTTTTGCAGCTTAGACTAAAGTCCTAAATTGTTGGATATTTTTAATTTACTTGCGGCATCAGGTTCGTGCTGCACCATGAAGGTGGCAGGGATATTTTTGTTGTTGATGCTGTGGACCTGTGAGGGTGCGAGAGTCGCAGGTGAGTTGAAAATATTTATATATCAGATTATTTCCTTCTTCTTTTTCTTTTTTTCAAACATCTCCAACATCTTAGAATTGACTTATTATTCACCTGCAGAGAGTCGAGAAGACAACAGTGTGTTTGATTTGTTTGAGCTCATCCGAGTCCCGAGCAAGAACCACGGGGTAAGCCTGGTGAAAGGAGACGACCCATACAGCCCCGCCTACAGGATCTTAAACCCGGACCTTATTCCCCCTGTCCCCGAGAGCGCCTTCAGGGACCTGGTGGACTCGGTCCAAGCAGAGAGAGGTTTCCTCCTTCTGCTCAACTTCAAGCAGTTTAAACGGACGAGGGGCAGCCTTCTGACCGTGGAAAAGCGAGACGGCTCCGGAGTCGTCTTTGAGATCATCTCCAATGGCAAAGCCAACACCTTGGACATCGTTTACTCCACTGAGAAAAAGCAGCAGGTGGTTTCCATCGAGGAAGTGGATCTGGCCACGGGTCACTGGAAGAACATCACGCTGTTTGTGCAGGAGGACCGCGCGCAGCTGTTTGCCGGATGCGAGGAGGTGAACACCGCTGAGATGGATGCGCCAATACAGAACATCCTGACGCAGGGAACGCCGGCCGGCGCGCGGCTTCGGGTCGGCAAGGGGGCAGTGAAAGACAAGTTCATGGTGAGAGTGGAACACTGTAGGGAGAATGGAAAGTTTTATTGTGCGGTGCCTTAATTTAAGATTTATTTTTGAAGAAAATGTTGCGCTAAACAATTGATTTATGCGCAATTGCGCACACAAGTCATGGACTGATTATTTAAGGGTTTATCCCATTTTTAACAATAAAAATCATTGTCCCCCATTGATTCTACATTGATGGTTGCAGGGGGTGTTGCAAAACGTGCGGTTTGTGTTTGGAACAACGCTGGATGCGATCCTGCGCAACAAAGGATGCCAGAAGGGTAAGTGATATTGACCAAAAGCCCCAGTGTGCTTAAGTATCTGCGTCAGGCATTGCAAACTCAAAGGAAGCTGCTGTCAGTGAGTTTTTGTTTATTTGTAATTTACATGCTCATGTCTATCAAAAAGCTCACAAGTGGTTTTTACTAGTCTCTGAGGAATGGCAGCTTACAAATGTCTTAGGTTGTTGTGGTCTGTTTACTCGTGTCCGATCTAATTACATTTCATATTAATTTAAAATGGAACTAGATGAGTCATTAAGCAAACCTACACTGAAAAAATGAAATCCAATTAAGGCATTTTTTTCTTGTATTGAGGAGGGAAGTAAGACACTTTACATTTAGAATAAGAAAAAAACAATTGTGCTGTAAACATATTCATTCCATTGGCAAATCATCTTATTTACCTGCTCAACTGAAGGCTAAATTTACTTAATTTAAGAAATTTTTACTTATTTCTAGATCGGTTTTGCAGTCACTAATCAGGATAAGTTGGAATTTTTCCAGCTTTGACATTTTATGTTTTGTCTTGTATTTCAGCTGCTCCTGGTGACACAATGATTGTGACTAATCTGAATGGCTCATCCGCCATCCGAACAGAATACATTGGACACAAGACTAAAGGTAAATGCCACAAAATTGTGCTGACACCTAGATTTGATCATATTTTACTTGTAGCTCTAAAAGCTCGCTGGTAGGTAAGAGATTCTCAAAATAATCTTGAGAAGAAACAGTATTTACAGAAATACGTAAAACAACATATGTATGTATAATATAATGTATGATCATAGAGCAGAAAACAAAGTTGTTCCATTTGCTAGTGTGACAGAGGGTATCAACTGTTGGGGTGATAATAGAGTTGTTCAACTTTTTATTTTGCACTTTCAGTAACAAAAATAGTATTATAAGTGTTATATATACCAGGGTAGACCTTAACATCTGTAATCGACCCATCCCTGAAACATAACTCTTTTTTTTTTCCTGTTAAGATCTACAGATGGTCTGTGGCTTCTCCTGTGAAGATCTCATCAGCATGTTCAAGGAGCTGAAAGGCCTTGGTGTGGTTGTCAAAGAACTGTCCACTGAGCTCCGCCAGCTGGTAAGAGGAAGAACATCTCTGACTTAGTTATAAGTTACATACCAGGACAAATTTTATCTTATAAACAGTCTGATAAATTTGTCTGAGTTAGTTAGTGAAGCATCCGATTTTCATTTTGCTACAGACATAAATATATATTTTTTAAATAACTGATTTAGATCAATAAGCAATTACTTTTTTTATTTGCTAGCTTTGGTTAAGTTGCTATAAATGGAGCATCTATAGTTTCCTGAACTCATCTTGTGCTTAAGTTTAACCATCTGTCTTAATGTGATACCACTTCAAATATTCTTATATCTTATATTTATGTCATGTTTTTTTTTTTTCTTGCAATCCTAGACAAATGAGAACAAGCTTATTAGAACCCACATGGGCATACATAGTGGCATCTGCTTCCACAATGGCATTAAACACAACAACAAAGATGAGTGGACCGTAGATGACTGCACTGAGTGCACTTGCCAGGTAAAACCTTCCTCTCCTGACTTAGTATTTGTGTTTGATATGACAGGATCAAACCTTCACACAAACTCATGTATTAAGATTATTTAGACTGAAGGACGAACCTCTAACCATCACCTCAGCTGCTTAGGTTAGTAATCAGTAGGTTGTATGCTTGGCAGGAGGCTAACAGCTTTTGGTGTTGTAATGACATGTTTCTTGTCAGACATTTAACATCAGTGTGGTCCTTAGGGAGTTGAACAGACTTTAAGTGGTGTCCATAATTAGGAACAAGACCTTGGCTCTTACAAAGTTAGGATACTTGGCAAGAATTCTATGGATCATTCAGTTGACTTCAAATCCTTTTTTTCTCCTCCTGCTTCGATCTGTATCCTCATTGTTTTCCGTCATTAATCAAATCCAGCTTGGGAGCAGGATCATGCAAACTTATAGTGCATTCATGCGGGTTGTGCTGGGTGGCAATATTTGGTGTTTTTCTGTGTCCCAAGATCATTTAAGCCCTTCTGCAGGACTGATTACTCTTTTTTTCCTGAATTTGTTCTTATGCCAACTGTCCTGACCTCAAGGGCAGGTGGTTGTCAACAAAGAGTTTATCCATTCTCTGCCAGAGCTTCATGTTTTGACTTTTGTGGCACAGTTTGTTTGTTTTACCAACAAACATGGAAACTGAAATGAATACCGAAAAAATGATTTTCTTTTCATGGTTTAGGGTTCAGTATACTTCATCCTCCCAAATGGGAACACGTCTTTACAACCAAAAAATGTGATCTCTGCTATAGTAGATGTGTTGTTTCTATACTGAGGCAGAATTGTCTAAACTATAGTAGAAGTTACTGTAAGTCACATTTTTATGGAGTTTAAAGACATAATCATCACCATTTTAAATAATATGGCACCTGTCATGGTGGCTTTTACAATCAATAGTTTTTAAGATTAATAATTTATTTAGTCTTTTTTACCAATCTCTTATCCTCTTTACCTGATTAGGATTTCTTTTCTTGTGTGTAGAACTCTGCCACTGTGTGTAGGAAGATCTCCTGCCCTCTGATACCCTGTGCTAATGCTACTGTTCCAGATGGGGAGTGCTGTCCACGATGTGGAACACGTAAGAATTGATGCCCTCATTTGCAAGCACTTATCTTTGACCATTAACTGTGCAGAAAGAAAATTATGTGAGGTCCTGTGTGGGAAAATGCACAACACACACACAAATACAAACATACATACATACATATATATATATATATATATATATATATATATATATATATATATATATATATATATATAGCAGGCACTTTAGAGTTCACAAAATCATACATTTCAAATTGCTCATGTAATAAAAGTAGCAGTAATAGGGGAACTCGTCACCAAATCTAACAATGATGTTTTGGAAATTATTACAGAAAACATTAAAATTATGTAATGTGTCATCTTATCCTGAGTGTTAGTACTATGCCTTGGCTCTAAACAGAGGGCCTTCTCTTCCTCTGAGTCCCTGCAAAATCCTCTTTATTAGCGCTTCACATGAGGAGATTTCTCTCTTTGTTTATGCTTAAGGGTGTTTAAAAAGGGGAGCTGCCTCTATGGAAAAGAACTTTAATTGTTTCCCTCTTTTTCATATTCTCCTCCGCCGCTCCCCCTTGCGCAGCGAGTGACTATGCTGAGGACGGCTGGTCGCCCTGGTCTGAATGGACCCATTGTTCTGTGTCATGTGGGCGGGGCATCCAGCAGCGAGGGCGCTCTTGCGACCGTATCAATAATGTCTGCGAGGGCACCTCTGTGCAAACCCGTGATTGCTATCTTCAGGAGTGTGATAAACGCTGTAAGTAAAAATAAAAAAGGGCAAAGTTTGTTGTCATATGTAAAACATAATTTTTAGTTATTAATCCAGCAAATTACTTCATTCTTAATAAACCCTGATCACATTTTTTTTAATATTCAGTCAAGCAAGACGGAAACTGGAGTCATTGGTCCCCCTGGTCGTCATGCTCTGTCACCTGTGGTGCTGGTGTCATCACTCGTATCCGCCTCTGCAACTCTCCCACCCCTCAGCTGGGAGGCAGGGACTGTGTGGGAGAGGGCAGACAAACAGAAAAGTGCAAGATGTCTCCATGTCCAAGTAAGATCTACCTACTTACCTTGATTTCTTTGTTCAATGCTCGTTTTCCACAGCATGGGTACAATTTGATCTTCTCTTTTCTCTCCAGTTAATGGGAACTGGGGACCCTGGTCACCTTGGGGTACATGCACCCTCACCTGTGGTGGTGGAGTTCAAACCCGTAAACGCCTTTGTAATGATCCTGCCCCAAAGCATGGCGGTAAAGAGTGTGTTGGAGATGCAATAGACAAACAGATGTGCAATAAGAAAGCTTGCCCTATAGGTAAGTCATTTTAATTAACATTGTAGTTTTGGAGGTTTGTTATCACTTAAGTATTTTTAAAATTACAAGCAGATGACATGAAAAAATGTTTTCACTGCACTATTTTTAGATGGGTGCTTGTCCAACCCCTGCTTTTCTGGGGCCAAGTGCAGTAGTTTCCCCGATGGTTCCTGGAAGTGTGGAAAATGCCCCATCGGCTACACAGGCAATGGCATAAGGTGTAAAGATGTTGATGAGGTATGAATTCATGATAGGAGGAGCAAAAATAATTCCCTTGGATGTCTCATTTTATAATAACACACTTTTTAATAATAAAAAAACAACAGTGCAAGGAGGTCCCAGATGCTTGCTTTGAATTCAATGGCGTACACCGCTGTGAAAACACAGAGCCGGGATACAACTGTCTCCCCTGCCCCCCTCGCTACTCGGGACCCCAACCGTTTGGCAAAGGTGTGGAGCAAGCTGCTGCTAACAAACAGGCAAGTGCAGACCTGGCTCTCCAAGATGGTCCAAAATATTTTTCTTTAAATTTACAAACTTTCTTTTAAGTGCAATCAATTTCTCCGTAAACCTACTGTCACATGGTATTGTTGTTTTCCATGTTAAATGGAAAACGAATGTTCCTATCACTTGTAGGAGATATTTCTTGTTTTCATTATGCTAAACAAGGGATGAAAGGTGCTTTTGAGGTAATGATATGTTGGCATTCATTTTTCAATACTTATCCATCACTTAACCATCTGGGGATGAAAGTTTGATGCACTATACACAGTTTGATTTGTTTAGGAAATAAGTGAGACTGTCTTCTAGTTTAAAACATCCATTTAAATGCAAATTTAAGTCAATATTCATCAGTGCAAATTGAATGGCTGCGTAGTGTGTTGTGGTTATATTTAAGTAATTGGAATTGTATTATAAGCTGATTTATTTTATTAACTTGTTTAATATCTAAGTTAAACATGACATACAAAGATTTATTATACACAGACTTACAGTTTCCAGCAAGTCATTCTGTTCATTACAAGTCAATTTCAATTATTCAAAAATGCCTGGGAACCTAGTAGTCGGTTCACCATCTAGATGAACCAACTATGTATGATTATGCATAGTGTGACAGCAATATTGGGAAAATATGTGGGATTTAAAATGGATAGCATTAGTCTGATAACTTGTTTGAACCTTTCAATCTGCAGGTATGCACACCGCAAAATCCTTGCCTAGATGGAAGCCATGATTGTAACAAAAACGCCCGCTGTAACTACCTCGGACACTTCTCCGATCCCATGTTCCGCTGCGAGTGTAAGCCTGGTTATGCTGGCAACGGTCATATCTGTGGGGAGGATACAGATTTGGATGGATGGCCCAATGCTGATTTGGTGTGTGTGGAAAATGCTACTTACCACTGCAAAAAGGTTTGTCAAAGTCGAAAAAAAGGTCCAAGGTTTTGGTTCAAATTACTTTTAATATTACTTTCTAACTGTCTGACCATTTTTCTGTTATTTAGGACAACTGTCCCAATCTTCCAAACTCAGGGCAGGAAGATTATGATAAGGATGGAATTGGAGATGCATGTGATGACGATGATGATAATGATGGCATTCCTGATGACAGGGTTAGTGTTTGTGTTCTGATATATTACTTCTCATGATGTCTGGCACAAAAGTTGACTGGGGCCACAGTTGGGAAGCAAACGTTTCTCACAGATTTTTAGCCAAAACCAAACATTCCAAAGCTAAGGCAGAGAGCAAAGGCACCTGCATTGTCTGACACTAATCCCAACATTAGAAGTGAGCCTGAAAATAAAGCACCTTTTCATCTTGCTCTGCTTGCCCCGTGTAAATAGACAGGTTCAGACAGCAAAAGATAAGCACTGCAACTGAAAACCTGTCATCAGTTGCTCATTTTGTCTTTGCCAAACAGGACAACTGTCCGTTCGTGTACAATCCCAGGCAGTATGATTATGACCGCGATGACGTTGGGGACCGCTGTGACAACTGCCCTTACAATAGTAATCCAGACCAGACAGACACAGACAACAACGGTGAGGGCGATGCCTGTGCTGTGGACATCGATGGAGATGGTAGGAATTAAATTTTCTTTCATAAAATTACTTTAAAATGTTTCTAAAATGTAAGGTTTTCTCAACTTATTTTCCACGTACTTGCCAGGAATACTGAATGAAAAAGATAACTGTCCCTATATATACAATGTTGACCAAAGAGACACAGATCTGGATGGAGTGGGAGACATGTGTGATAACTGTCCTCTGGAAAATAATCCCGATCAGGTGTGTGGACACAAGACGCAAACACCCTTTCCCATTTCCTTCCGCCTCAACCACCAACAATAATTCACATTCAGCTCTCAGCTTTTCTCTCTTGCTCAGCATATATCTGTCTTTCAATTGAGAGGGAGCCTCGGTGATTAGCCTTGTGTGGCTGTCTAAGCTTTATCACGCCATGTAATGGTGGAGCAAATCCTGTATGCAGCTCAAGGGCACATTAGTTCAATAGGGCATGGTGGTGGGGGGGTCTTTTCAATGGCTCATTGACATTGGCTGGCTAATGTGAGGGAAGAGGCCCTAGGCTGGATATTATTGAGGAGTTGGCTGGTCCTGGGGTATGTGCATGCCGTGTCAATGCGGCACAGGCTCATTCAATCCACCTGTGCCATGCTACACTGAGAAATAGGAATGTGTTGAACAGCAGGAATTGGGCAGAGGGTTTGGGGGTAGAATAGGCTTTGTCAAAGCCTTGGTTTCAGTGTTTTTATAAACAAATTGCACGCTGCTTTAAAAGCCTAGAATACCCCTGTTCAACAAATAATAAAACTGTTTAATACTTTCAAAAGCTCTTAAACTAAGGAATTTTGAATAAAGCAACCCCGCTTCGGCGTTGTTTTCATATGCAACAATAAGCGCTTCAACCCAGCTGAGAGCTACAGAATACTCAACAGGCTTTCTGCCGCTAAAGCAATGATTATTAGGCTTAATAGGGGAACAGTTGGAGTTCTATCCATCTTCTCCCTCTTATTCTGTCAGGGTGGCAGTGGGGCCGGTGCTTATCTCCGGCAGTCTATGGGTGAGAGGCAGGGTACACCCTTGACAGGTCAGCAGTCTGCCACAGGGCAACACATAGACACACCAACCATGCACACACACTCACACATAATGACATTTAGACATGCCAATTAACCTAACAGTATTTTTTTTGGACTGCATGCATGGTGAGAACATGCAAAAATCCATGCAGAAACACCCCTTAAACCCCAAACTTTCTTTATGCAAGGCAACAATGCTACAAACTGCTATACCGTGCAGCCCCACAATTAGAGATTTTAGAGACAAAAAGATATTGAATTCCAACAAAGCCTTAAAAAAAAAGTTTTCTATTTTATCAAAGCCAGCATTGTACTTAAATATGCTTTTGAACATTAACTGGTTGTAGGTGGATTCAGATGATGATCGAGTGGGAGACAAGTGTGACAGTAACCAGGACATCGATGAGGATGGACACCAAAACAACCTGGACAATTGTCCATACATCCCCAATGCCAATCAGGCTGATCACGACAAGGATGGTAAGGGAGATGCCTGTGACCATGATGATGATAACGACGGCATCCCTGATGACAAAGACAACTGTAGACTGGCGTTCAACCCCGACCAGCTGGATTCTGATGGTAACAAAGAGTTTTAAATGCATTACATACTTTGCTAAAACATTTCAAGTCATCAACAGATTATCTTCATTAATTAGGTTATGCTATTTTTCAGGCGATGGCCGTGGAGATGCTTGTAAGGATGATTTTGATCAAGACAACGTGCCTGATATCTATGACGTGTGTCCTGAAAACTTTGATATCAGTGAGACGGACTTCCGCAAGTTCCAGATGGTTCCTTTGGATCCAAAAGGCACCTCCCAGATTGATCCGAACTGGGTCGTCCGTCATCAAGGCAAAGAGCTGGTTCAGACTGTCAACTGCGATCCTGGTATTGCAGTCGGTGTGTGAACTAATGTTTTAAGACATTCTAGTTTTTCCAAATTATTCTAAATACATACAACTCAAGATAATGTTCATCATAAAAAACTATTTTCATCTTTTTTAAGCCATTTTTTTCTACTCTCCCTTTTTTTTAACAGGTTACCATGAGTTCAACTCCGTGGACTTCAGTGGAACTTTCTTTATAAATACAGAGAGAGATGACGATTATGCTGGCTTTGTGTTTGGCTACCAGTCTAGTTCCAGGTTTTATGTCGTGATGTGGAAGCAGATCACACAGACATACTGGTCAAGTAAGCCCACCAAGGCCCAGGGCTACTCAGGCCTGTCCATCAAAGTGGTTAACTCCACCACCGGCCCAGGAGAGCACCTCAGAAATGCCCTCTGGCACACAGGCAACACTGCAGGACAGGTACGTTACACTTGTACAGTTCATTTTAATCAGACTACTGTCAGTCAGACTAAACTTCTGATCCTTACTTCTTGGCTGTCAGGTCCGCACTCTCTGGCATGACCCTAAAAATGTCGGATGGAAAGACTTCACTGCCTACAGGTGGCATTTGATCCACAGGCCGAGAACAGGACTTATTAGGTGGGAATGAAAAGATTCACATTATATTTTTGTTCATGAGCCTCAGGAGTTTACATTTTGAATTTTAATCTCTCTTTTTTTGCCTTTCCACAGAGTTGTGATGTATGAGGGTAAAAAGATAATGGCAGATTCTGGTAGCATCTATGACAAGACGTATGCAGGTGGCAGGCTAGGTCTTTTTGTCTTCTCACAAGAGATGGTTTATTTCTCAGACCTTAAGTATGAATGCAGAGGTAGGTAACTTTGAGGAATGTTTAAAACTTGTAATACATAAATGTTTTAGCTGATGCACATATTAGACTCTATGCTAACTCTTTTTTTTCTTTTATTTTCTCACCAGATGCATAACTTGATGATCAAAATCCCCAGGGAATACATATTTTTTCTAAAGTAACAACATGATTTTCTCCTGCTCAGTCCAGGAGCTGATTTATTTCCGCATAACTTTCTTCTGTGCTGTGCACTCTCCAGTGGGTCGAAGGTCATACTGTTAGCCTCAGGGTAACTTGAAGTAGGTTTGGGCAAAGCACCAATTGGCCAACTTCTGGTTAAGGATCAAAGATTATTGAGAGCTGAAAAAAACTTTGACTTTGCAAGATGGACACCAACAATGGGAAGGGTTCCTCTGAAAAAAGTGCACTTCAAAGCCTTTATAATATACTCTGTTCCAAATTTCCAGCCTGTGTGCCTTCCTGCTTTATTTTTTTTGGATAGACATCCCGAAGAAAGAAAAACATATATTCTATTTTTCCCAGACTACTTATATTATGATTTGTAAGATACATTTGAGGATTCAAAGAGTAAATACAGCATAGTTTAGAATGTTCTGCTGTTAGGGACTTAAAGTGAGTTAAGGGGTATGTTATGGGAGTATGTGTTTATTCATGTACAGTGTGGAAGATTAGCCATGAATGAATAAAGAACGACTTTCTACCTAAGAATCTCTGTTGAGTAGAGAAATTAAGTTTAGCATAATTCTAGTTTAAACCTAAGAACCCTGAGCTTTGCCAATATTGCATTTGTTTTTACTCAGGATTAGATGAAAGTGATGATTTTCCAAGTTTAAACAATGAAATGAAATCAGTTAACCTGGTATCGCAAAGCCAAGATTCCTTACAAATTGACGATGTCACACACTTGGTCAGTGAAGAGATTTCTTTCCCTCAACTTTTGAGGATTTCAAGATGAAAGGATGTAAATGCATCTACCTTATTGACTCTTGCCTACAGTGTAGGCAGCAAAGGAAGTACCAAATAAGTAAAACTCCTCCCAATAACAGATTCTTTATTCCAGTAAAAACTGATAAACTGCTTTACAGGGTAAATTGGGTATTCCTCACTAAGAGCTTTTTTATATGAAGTTAGTGTGATTTTTGTACCTTTTCTACAGAGAAAAGATATTTTAAATATACAAATATTACCTCATTACTGTTTATAACACGATAAAACAAAAATAATATTCATTCTTTTGAAATAACAGGAATCCTAGTGCTACTCTGACATGAGCTGTATATAGTTTTGTATCTAAAAAAACAAAACTGAGTTCCCAGGGCCATGATGCACCCCAGAAAAAATGTGTGTGGGAAGGAAGGGGTTATAAATATGCTTTGTAACAATTTTTCAGTGCTGTTTTGAGCAAATAAATTATTGTTTTTTTTGTCATAGCTGTTTATGAGAGCTTGACTTGTGCGTGCGTGTAGATACATACTATTTAAATAATTTATCAGGATGTGTTGCCTTGTTAAAGGACACTTCTGTCTGTATAAACAGTTTGCACACTGACGCGAGGATGTCCTGTTCTTTATCTTTTTACCATGTTTTGTTGTGTATCTGTTTCTATTATTTTGTCTGTATACATTTTCCTAGTTGTATAAAGCAAAATGCTGTTTTTATTCATTGCAAATTTTTGTTTTCCAACTTTTAGAAAATAAATAGCTGTTAAAATGTAAACCCCGTCCTGGGTCATTCTTCACTTTATTTCAGTTTTGCACAATATATAAAGACAGTTATATGGATAAAATTTCAAAAACACATGTCAATCTACAGTATTATCTAAAGCTTTGACAGAACTGTATAAAAATAATGGCAGAGTTTACTTAAAAATTAAAAAAATCATGACAACCTACTTACCCGATTCAAGACAACAGAATAGCAAATTATACAGCTTGTTGTGATAGTTTATAATCTTATGAGTCGGGGTATTGGTCACACAGTCACACAAACCTAAGATCACTTCAGTATGCTGACAGAAAGCAAGTAAACTTACCTTAAGTCCCACTAGACAGATACTTATTGGTCCAAGTGCAGGTCTTAGTTGGACCTGCACTTGTTACTTATCGGGATAAGTACCAAGACCTGCTTGTTAACAAACAGATTCTTTGACCCAGGTGTGTAAAAGCAGTGATATATCTTAAAGGTCACTGGACACTGGCCCTTCAGGAATGGAATTAATAAAACCCTTTATTTAATCTGATTCAGATTGTTTCAGGTTAGCAATTAATTGAAATTAGGAAAATTAGGTGTTCAGAAATGTGGAAACCTCTAGAAATGCAGGGTAGTATGCCTTAAGGACAGTTATTTTACATACTGGTCGAAGCATACGTTTGTTTATTTAACATTAATGCTAATTAGCCTAAATTAGCAGCAGCCCACTTGGGTTCACCATAAAACCGAGACAGGGGCACAGCTAGGCGCTGTGATTATTAAGACACAAAAAAAAGATTATTTAACACAGTTTGGTCACAGAATCAATTAAATATTTCACTTGATATAACTTAAAATAAAGTATAATGTGCACATGTTCTTTAACAGTGACAAGCAGACAACTTTCATAGTGATGGCCAACAAGGGACCAATGTGCTCTGAGGAGTGGCTGAAAACAGCAAGGTGCCAGAATAAGAACTAGCTCAATAATAGCCTGTATGAACAGGACCTCCACTTCCATCAATCCTGCTCTCCAACGTCTGCTCATTGGAAAACAAAATGGATATTCTCCAACTGGAACTCTATGTAACTGCTGCGCAATCATTCCGACGGAGTCTTGACTGCATCCAGCAATACCGGACAGTGCAAAAATGCTACTGTAGATCAGTCACCAGCTTCTGCTCTCCAGACATCAAGTTTCTGACTGTTAACTTCTATCTGCCCAGAAAGTTCAGTCTGCTTAGCTTCACTGCTGTTTATGCGTCTCCCAGCGCTAATACAAAAAAGGCCATGAAGACTCTATACCAGGCTATCTCTGAGCTCCAATCTGCACACACAGAGGGTGTTTTCATAATTGCTGGAGATTTTAACCCTGTAATGCCAAATGTATCGTATTTGATACATACGGTTTCTGAAATGTTTTGCGTCTGACACCTTTTGCATAATTTAATAGTAAAAACTTTGCTCAAAATCCTATTGTACACAATCAGATATACCTGATAACAGAGGGCAGAAGACTACACAAAAAAAATCTTGACTTATCACATAGTAATAAATTATTAACATCAAAAATGTGTTTCTGTTTTTTCTTTTTACATATTTTGTTTAAAGGCCAAATAAGGACTTCAAACCAAAAAAAAAGTTATTTTCTGTTTTTTTTTTATTCTTGGATCGGGCTTTAAAGGGTTAGCCAGGCTAACTTGAAGACTGTTCTCCCTCATTTCTACCTGACAACTTATTAAATATTGATTAGTATGCCATGACTGTGTCAGCCTACATTAACAAATGCATTAAGGACGTCAGCATCACCACCCGAGCCAACCAGTGAATCGTGGATTAAAGGAGAGGTTTGGAAATCGCTAAAAGCACAGAACTCAGCTTTCAAGTCTGTTGACAAAGAGGCACTAAGAACAGCGCATGCCAACTTAAACCGTGCCATCAGATAAGTAAAGCAGAACCACAGCCAGAAGATCCAGGATCTTTTCCATGACACCAGCAACACCAGGAGGATGTGGAAGGGCATTCAGATGATCACAGACTACAACACACCCTCCCCCCCGGTAGATGCAGCAAACACTGACTTCCTAAATCAACTGAACAACTTTTTTGGGAGTTTTGAGGCACTAAACAGAACTCCAGCAGTAAAAGCTGTTCCACACTAGGGGGAGGAGGCACTAAACCTGGACGTAGCTGAAGTGAGGAAAACTCTGAGGAGAGTCAATCCAAGGAAGGTCCCAGGGCCTGATGTCATACCTCGCTGGACCAATCCATAGTGCCAGCATGCTTCAAGTCTGCCAACATCACTCCGGTTCCAAAGAAGCCTCAGGTCAGCTCAATCAATGATTACCAGCCTGTTGCACTGGCTCCAATCATGATGAAGTGCTTTTAAAGGCTGGTTAAAGAACACATCATCTCCGGTCTGCCACTAACATTCGACCCGTTCCAGTTCGCTTACCAACGAAACTGATCCTCTGAGGACGTTTTTTCTGCTGCGCTCCACCTGAGCTTGGCAAACCTGGAGGAGAAGACCACCCACGTGCGGATGCCGTTCCTGGACTACTGTTCAGCTTTCGACACCATCATCCCACAGCATCTGATGGGCAAACTGAAACAGCTGGGATTCAATACACCCCTCTGCAATTGGTTGCTAGACTTCCTCACCAACAGAGCTCAGTCAGTCCAGGTTGGACAGAACACCTATGATGTCATCATCCTAAGCACAGGTTCCCTCAGGGCTGCGTCCTGAGCCCCCTGCTGTTCACCCTGATGACACATGACTGCGTCCCCAGGTTCACCACCAATCATATTGTGAAGTTTGCAGACAACTCCATGGTGGTGGGCCTCATCAGAGACGACAACGACCTGGACTACAGAGAGGAGGTGGAGCAGCTGGTGGACTGGTGCAAAGATAACAGCCTGATCCTGAACGTGGAGAAGACGAAGGAGATCATCTTGGACTTCAGGAAGAACCAGCCTAACCAAGCTCCACTGGTCATCAACAGCTCAGCTGTAGAGGTGGTCAACGGCACCAAATTCCTGGAGGTGCACATCACAGACCCCTCACCTGGAATTTAAACACCACCTCGCTGATCAAAAGGGCACAAAAGCGCATGTCCTTCTTGCGGAGGATGAGGAGAGCCCACCTGCCCCCACCCATCCTCACCACCTTCTACAGAAGCGCCATAGAGAGCGTTCCGACCATCTGCCTAACTGTGTGGTGTGGAGGCTGCAGCACCTCAGACTGGAAGAAAGTGAGAAGAAAGATGATCATTGGGGCTCCTCCTCCCTCCATAAAAGACATTTCATCCCTGCGCTGCGTGTCCCGAGGCCTTAACATCATAAATGACACCTCACACCCCACCATGGACTGTTCACCCTGCTGCCCTCTGGGAAGAGACTTCGAAGCATCTGATGCAGGTCCAGCAGATTCCACAA